ATACAGTTTGGATTAACCTGTTTCCTTTAGTATAAAAATTACAGCTAGTTTTCCCCCAATAAAATATCATATCCGTATTTATGTATGAGGGGGAGGGCGGCACATTGTAAAAAGTGTCCCTTCTTCAAAATGGCTACAAGTTCTATTGAAGCAAAGGAAGTATGAAAATAAAAATTTTAAATATCATTTTTCTCCTTAACTGTCCAACTAATACTTTAGAAGCATCAAAATTTTATTCTTTTCATCTGGTCAAACTGGTTTCTGAAAATAAATTGGTACAATGTTATCGGTCAGAGAAATTTTTAACTGCATCCTAGAAACAAAAAAATTTCAATTTTTTTTATTTCAAACTACATGTACATAATATTGATATGAAAAAGTCTCTCCAAGTTTATGGTGTTAAATTCTAAAATAGCAGCAATTGCCATGGAACTAACAATGGGTCATTTATTTCTAAAAGTTTGAAATTTTGCAAAACTTGAAAAAGGAATTTGCTATCTGCTTTCAAATCCAACATAACGCCGCTAGGGTCAATTAAGGGAGATACACTTATGCTTCGACTTGCAAAAGCAGTGTTTCTTGTAATTTTTTTGGTCTTTTTTTTTGGGGGGGGGGTGTCTTTTTACCTTTGAAGAACTACTCGATTCATATCTCACACAATAATATGTAGAACCTTACATCTACATAAATTTTGGAATTTTCTCACACACTATTTGTAAAAAAGGTTTGATTCATATAAAATACTGGGGTTTTATAGAACTAATACATTTTCAAATCAGGAAAGGCGGCCTGATATACATTTTTTTCCGATTCTTGAACAGATACCGCTGCGACGATTGAGGGTCTTGTGTCATTGAGTCTTACGATTTTTTGAGTGACCAATATTACAACTTCCTATGAGTTGAAATTTTGGGGTGAGACTCTATGATTTGAATATTTATTTTAAGATTTCATACTAAATTTGACAATTTTTGAGTAGAAAACAGTCATATTCCATTAAAAAAAATGAGTTAACTTTCATAAAAGCTTTTAGCCAAAATATTGCATTTAATTATTAGCATATATAAAAGAGGGGAAATCCTACTCTGAGAAAGAAAGAGGGGAAAATTTGGCTCTACTGAGAGATTTCATCTCGAGGAATATCCTACTCTAGAGTAGACATTCCGGCGGGGGGGGGGGGGGGGGGGCTAGCTATGGGGGGAATCCTACTCTACAACAACGGTTATCTACATCTGTAAATTTGAAGATGGAGAAAGCTAACGGAAATGCACGGTACGAGACAGACAATTTTCATAATGTTAAGGCCTTGTCATTTATTTCAAGCAGACAAATGGTCAAAATGCTTGATAAAAGTATTTACAGAATATCTCACCAGAGGCAATATTCATTATAACAGAAACAAATCAATAAACAACAAAACAAAACAAAAAAAACAAACAAACAAACAAACAAAAAAACAAACAAAAAAAAAAAACCAACAACAACAAAACAAAAACAAAAACAAAACAAAACAAAAACAAACAAACAAAAAACAAAACAAGTTTCCGTTCAAAATTAAGAATTTCTCATTTGAAAGTCGATGTTGAAAACAAACCCATTTCTCATTTGAATCACTTAACCAAAAGTTTCTGATGGCGCTACTGGAGCTCCTGCACTTGAAATAGTTTTTGTCAGCATTACATTTACAAAATTATTTATTCTGGTGTTTTCTAAACTTTAATTAAGTTTTATTGAAATAAAATCAAAACTGTAGGAGAAGTATCAGTTTGATTTTTTTTTCCAAATAGTACTTTTTCGTAACTATAGCAACACTGATAAATAGAAATGATGAGCCTTGGTTTATTCTGCTGTACTAAGTTTCAATGAAGTGGGACAAAAAATGTAGGACGGATAGGAATTGAACGAATCCCAAAGGTATAGTACATAGAGGATATTCAATGTTTTGTAGATGAATATGGAATTTCTAAGGAGGAAATTCTTCCAAATCAGATGTAAGTTTTGAATATTTTTAATATTCCCAACAACCAACATGAATCTATATTGGATTCCAAAACTTCATAAAAATCCTTACAAACAAAGATACAAAGAGGGTTCCAGTAAATGTATCTACCAAGGCTCTTTCTTTACTCCTCACTAAAATATTAACAGCAGTGAAGGAGAAACTTCAGGAGTATTGTGCAACAATATATTCGAGAAGTGGTGTAAATCAGATGTGGATACTTAAAAATTCCAAGGAACTTTTGGGAAATTTGAAATCACAAAATTTTACAAAAATCAACAACATAAAAACTTACGACTTTTCAACTTTATATACCACCATTTCCCACGATAAATTACAGTCCAGGCTTTTTGATTTCATTGACAGCTGCTTTTTCAATAAAAATGGAACTCGTAAATTTACTTACCTTGTCATTGGTCATTTGCAAAAATTATTTTGTTAAAAACATTCTGAGTGTACACACAAGTACTCTGAAGTTGATATTAAAAAGATGCTCGAGTTTCTCATCGACAATATCTATGTGGTTTTGGAGACCAGGTCTTCCAACAATCTATTGGAATTTCCATGGGTACCAATTGCGCCGCGTTATTAGCAGATTTTTGTATTCATATGAAGCAGAATTTGTTCAAAATCTTATACGTGAAAAGAAGAAAACACTTGCTGTGGCCTTCAACTCGACATTTAAATATATAGACGACGTATTGTCAATTAACAATGGTTATTCCCATTCTTATGTCGATAAGATATATCCCAGTGAGCTTGAAATAAAAGATACCACAGAGTCTGACACATCTGTTCCTTATTTGGATATTTTACTAGAAAAAGACGTCAATAGTAATCTGACAACCAAGTTTTATGATAAACGTGATGACTAACTTTTCTATCGTCAACTTTCCTTACTTATGCAGCAATATACCTTCATCACCTGCATACGGGGTTTATATCTCTCAATTGATTCGATACGCAAGAGCATGCTCTACGTATGAATAGTTTCTAAAAGGGGGTAAGTTAACGACAAGTTGATGAAACAAGAATATCAGCAGTCTCATTTAAAGTCGTCATTTCGTAAGTTCTATGGTCGATACAATGACCTTGTCAGCAAATACAGTTTATCATTAGGTCAAATGCTGACTGACGTTTTTCAAACTAATTGTTAGGCCATTATTTACCCTCTGAATTTGTCGACGGATTTTTCCGTTATTTCCCGATCATGACAAGGAGCACACGGCGGGTCTGACTGGTTGGCAGGGGATGCTCACACCTCCATGGCACCTGATCCCACCTCTGATGTTTTAGAGGTCCGTGTAGCTACTCCACAGTACACGATTAAAGAACATGCCGCCACATGCATCAAAAGCGTGGAATGGTTTTAAAAGAATGACTGATTTTAAATCCATAAGGTGTAAAATGCCCAGTATGTGAAATGGAATAACGTACACGGGTGGGGCAACAATAAACTAATTAAAACCACTTCTGACCGAAATTCAACTCTGAAACCAGCGGGATATAAAGGACATCCCGCAAAACAGCCAACTATTACGGGATGTTTGAGAAAAAATTTATTTAGAAGATATATGTGTTTGCTATTATAAATAAAGTTCATATGCACTGCATTACTGTTTTACATAATATACCGACGTTACATATATTACAGTTACTATTGAGTATATATATAGCGAACAATGATATTTGAAGATCTAAAGAAAAACCATCCGAGTAAGAGCCGGTACACATGATAAGGCTTGCCTTATAAGTCATAGAACTTAAGTTCTTGACTTACCTTGTGTACACCCTTAATACACGGTTTTTCGAGCCTTACAAGTCTGACTTACAAATAGAACACTGCTCTATTTCTTAATACAAGACTTAGCTGAAATTTTCTTCTCAACCAATGAAAATCATTCGCCCAAATGTCATTCTATTTTTATCAAATCATACACGTGGGTATATTGAAGTGAACACAAAGTATTTTCGAATAAGCTAATGAAAATATCCACAAATGCTTCTGTTCTACCTCTTCCTCTTTTTTTAAGAAGTGTGAATGTACTTGTTGATATAATTATTACAAAGCCTATTAATCTATTCTTCAATTTTAATGACCTAATGCACTATTTATGCCTGGAAACACGTAGGATTTATGGAAATGTTGTAAATAATCTTGTAAGTCTTGCCTTAACGTGTGGACACAAGAGCCGTACGTCCTGCAAAATGTAAAGTTTTAGACTTATAAGGCAAGCCAGCCCTAACTGGGTACTCGATCGGAAAAGTAAGGGAGTAACCGGTTACTAAAATCGTCCGATTTGACAACACTACTTATTTGATATTATGAATTATTGTTCAACAACTTTTAAGTCTTAGTCTGCAAGGTTTATTGTCTTTATCAGATCTCTGCTTAGTCTTCTCTTGTAACTTGTGCAGCTCTTGTTGAAGGTTATCTAATTTTTCATCTTTCGCTTTCAATTTTTTCTGCAGTTCAATTTGCTTGTCTTTGTCCTTGTTCTCGAGTTTTAGTTCCTTATTCTCGAGTTCTAGTTCGTTAAGTTTTTCTATTAAACTCTCCTTTTCTGACTTCTCTTTCTCTATATTTTCCTCCAAAACTCTTATTCTCAACTTCAACTTTTTCCTTTCTGTGCTCTCGTCAGACAGCTTGATATCAAAGATTATATGAACAAATTCAAATCTACACGTAAACAAAGTATTAAAGTACATGTATTAATATTTGGTTTGAACTGACTGTGGTTCTCAAGAATGAAAAGGTAAAATTTACAGACTTCTATGCAAGAGAGGGATAACAGTGAACAAACATTCACCAAAAATTGTGTGGGAGGAGCCAGGAGAATGACATGTTTGTGCAATGCCACTATTTCTGACAGAAAAAAAAACTCTTGTGTTAATACAAATACATACTAGTTATATATATCTGTGTTAATACAAAAACATATTGGATATATATCACAAAAACATTGGTAATATACCTGTAAAATTTATTCAACTACATACCTGCATTGAGCATAATACAATACAAATCATATAAATAAATATTTACTAAAATAAAATAAAGAAATAAAATTTTGCTCATGTAATTGCTGAAGTTATGCAAAAATCTCAAAAAACAACTTATCACAGTTCGAACAAAAGTCACTTTAAGAAGTTAACAAAAAATAAAGCTGTAAACATGACATTGTATATCAGCACAAAAAATGGAGTGGAGTAAATTTTATAAATTTTGTAGCTTTTATGTTTTCAGTAAATGTTTATTACAAAGTAGCTGACCAATATATAGACAAGGCTACTTAATAACCATTCAATATAACAATGAAACTTCATCAGAACTTCGGGGTACCATAGATTAATGCATTTGTATGTCACATGTTCTGTATTTGATATCATAAACAATACATCTACAGTAACGATAGCACTGTAGTAGATATGTATATTACATCATGATTTATAAAGTGTCAATTTTAGAATAACACAGATCTAGAAGTTACACAATTTATGTAAAACTGTAAAGTATACTGAGAGTTTAAATAACTGACAAAACTGAGTACAATACAAGACTGGAGCTTAAGACAAAGCTTCCATTTAAATGGACGGAGATGTAAAAATAATTCATTTTCCTGATGATATACACATGGAAGTTAGCATATAATATAAAAGTAACTTTTTAAGATAAATCTGAACATATCCTCTCAACTACATGCAGTTAATAATACAAATATAGTTAAACTTTGGTATCTCAAACACCGATGTCTGAAATACCATAGATACATCAAAGCGAGATGGAAGTCCCAGTCACCATTTCTATATGTATTATAACTTCAATATCGCAAAGTTTCTTCTCAGCAACATCAAGTTTGAGATAACAAGATTTTCTTTTTAAATATAGCAGTATATATGAGATATTTAATACATGAAAGATTATAAAAAAGTACTTCTACAAGCTCTCTTAATGACTATACTGACTCGTACTTCTCAACAAATTCCATGAATACACAACCCTCTTACACATCATGCTGCCTAATGGTCAAGTATGTGACAAGTATAATTATTAAAATGTTTAAAAATGGGACACTATCTATGTAAAGTAATGTTTATATGGTAAGTTAATCTACATGTATTACTAACAGTTGTTGTCAATAGTATCTACTTGTAGGTTTTGTTTCTTGGTTATTTCTTGGATGAACTCTTTCTGAAGAATGGACCTTGGTCGTCATAAGAAGCCTTAATATTCAGAGACAACGCCACACAAAGACACTGAAACACATAAGCAACACAAATTGTAAATGCAGCCACATATATTACAAGAAATTACATTTTAATGCATAGAATATTTATTCTAACAATTTAAAAAAATTCCTGGGATTTTCTTTAAAAAAAATCACATATCAGTCATCTTTGTAGTTTTTCTAGGGAAAATTTTATATATATTGTGTATCTTTTTAGAATCTAAAAATGCCTTACAAAAGAGGAAAAATGAAAAGAAAATTTGGCCAAAGCTGGAGAATCTCCCAGCTGATTCTTATTATAGAATTAACAAACCTGCAGTCATCTCCTCCAGTACTTATTAAGTATTTGTCGTCAAATGAGAAGCGGACATTAGTTACATGGGCTGAGTGTCCCACATATGATTTATGAGGTGCCTGCAAATTAAAAATTAAAAAAATCCTGATTTACACAAACGATTCAAAACATATTGCTTCTATAGTGTGTAACCAAACTGATCATCAAATTTGCAAAAAAAAAAAAAAAAAAAAAAAAGGTAAAATATTTTAAAACACATGTGCTATAAAAAAATATGTTTCACACTCCACCCTCAGGTTGTAAAAAGCCTTGTGCCAAGTGTGAGCTTCTAATCCTTCTCCCTTGTCAATGCAAGTTGATTCTTGAATTGCCAAATGTTTCACTAATACACTTGTGTGAGAACAAAATAGTAGACAAAATCCTTATGTTGTTGCAACAAAATTAAAACATACAAATACACAAAAAACCCAATTAATGGACAAGGCAGTTCTTTTAAATCTCCTTTCCCTTTATAAGTCAGTCATGTTATTGTCGTGTAGTTCACACCAAGATGTTCATGTCACACTCTTTCATTAATGTTCATGTCAGATATATCACTGCAGCCACTATTGAGGTATACTGTAAACCAAATTTTATTCGCATGTGAGATATATTTGTGAGTTTTGCGACCTACATTTACTTGCAAATATTAATCACCGTGAACCATTTATTTTGCTTTGTATATGTAGAAAATGTTTCCTGAGTCGCGGAAATTAATCGTTGCGGATTGATTTTAAACAGAATCGTGAATAAAAGATGACGCAAATAATAGTCGGTTTACAGTATAGTGTTATTATTCATGCAGCAGAACCATTTCTAAATTCAACATCAATATAGATAGCATAAGTTTGAAGGGGGTTTATCATAAAGGTATTTTACACCTACTAATAGACTTTAAATCTAACAACACATACATTTAATTAATTCCTATTCTCAAACACTATTAGGACTCAGCAGGATTTCTGTAAAGGGATGGATAAAGAAAAAACTTAAAAAAAAAAAAACATCTCTAAATTAATTCACAGTGCATGTAGTATTTACTGTTCTGCTTCATAAAATGTACATGTATTAAGGTTATAATTTACAGAAAAAATTTAACTGCGATTTAGAACCATTGTACTTATGTATTTTTACAATTCTGAATGCTTATCCTACATTACAAGATTTTTTCAAAAGAATCATATCATTTTCATATTTTCAGAATATGTTTAGATATTTTGCAAGACAAATCATGATCTAATTTTGCCAAGGTAGAATGCACTATTGATATTCATGTTTTCAAGTGTTTACCTAAAGTAGTATACACTGTTGATATTCATGTTTTTAAGAGTTGCTCTACTAATATTCATGTTTTAAGTGCATACACTCAAGTACTTCTATGCCCTACATTAATCAGATTCATATTCATATTTTAAGTGTCACCTACCGTAGTATACACTGTTGATATTCATGTTTTAAGTACAGTTTACCTACAGTAGTATACACTTGATATTCATGTTTTCAAGTGTATATACTTGATATTCATGTTTTAAGTGTTTATCGACAATAGTATACACTGTTGACATTCATTTTTTTTTATATGTTTACCTACAGTACTTATAATTCTTATAGTTCTGAATTTTTTTTTTATGCTTATTTAAGCAAAATCTGCTTTTAGTTGATTATGTACAATATCTAGCTAAATACTTTGCTACATGGACGTATCAGGGTAAGATATGACTGATCTGTGACAGGTGATGAAGCCCTAATAAAGCCATGAATAAAATCAGGTGTTCTTCATACTTACTCCAAACCAAACTTACCATAGCCTAAAGAAGGCAAGCAAAGGCATGGATCAAAACATGTAACAATGAGCATTGAAAGATGGCCATAAAAAAAATCAGTGAATAAAATGAATGAGCTTAAATTTGAATTGATATAGAAGATTAGTGTGACATTATTAAACTAAAAACAATTACACAGATGTTTGTCACATAGTCTGTTTATCAAAGGACTTACATTTTTTTCTGAACAAGGAAAGTTGAACAATTTGACAAAACCAAAGTCATCCCCAGTGGCTAGTGCCGTTCCCAGGTGTGATAGGTGAGCACAATTAACGTCGGCGTTACTGGAGTCCTTAGGCCAGATTCCCACCACCTCCTTCCCCAGTACACTGTCAAACAGGTATACATATAATAATTGACTATCTTCTTAAAAAGTTCACTGCTGAAAATCACTAGAACTTTTTATACATATTTATATCTTCCCTCACCTAGATGCTAATAGGATTAAGAAAATAGCTGTATTAAGAAATACATATTTTGAGACACTGAATTTGTTATGCTACATGTACAGTAAAACTCGGTTATAACGAAGTTAATGGGACCTGTCAAATTACTTCGCTATATCCATAATTCGTTATATCCGTATAAGGAATTCATTAAATTTATATAGCTGGGGATCGAAGAAAACTTTGCTATATTCGTGAATTCGCAATATCTGTGTTTGTACTAAACGAGTTTTACTGTATGTATACCTTGTCCAAGAAGCCCATGTTATGCTTTCAATGATTTTTTGTTCTTCTATGATTTTCCCGCTAGGAACCTCAAACACCTGGTGTATATAAGCTCCTGTGCTTACCTACAAAACCCAGAAAATAACTACAGTGTTTGTTTAACAGAGATAAACAAAAATTAAATGTTTAATTACAAAATTAAATTAGACACACAACCCTCTGTGAACAATAGTAACTTTTGAAAATCCACCTAGAGATGGGCAGCAGAACAATACTATTGTTCACAGTCCTTTCTTTTTCTTATGAACATCAGACTGTTACTGGTCCTGAAACACTGTCAGAATGTTTAATCATTCAGTTAAACTTCACAGACCCTGATGTACTTGCTGTCAGATAGTCATGGATACATTGACCCTTATGTACTTGATCAGTTACCCCCCCCCCCCCCCCACACACACACACACACTTACCCTGACAAACTCCACACACATTATGACCCTGACATACTCCACACACACACCCTCACACACACACACACACACACACCAAACACTGACCCTGATGTACTTGTTTAAGTTACCAGTACTCCACACACACAGTGACCCTGACATACTCCACACACACACACTGACCCTGACATACTCCACACACACACTGACCCTGACATACTCCACACACACTGACCCTGACATATTCTGCACACACACTGACCTTGACATACTCCACACACACACTGACCCTGACATACACCACACACACACTGACCCTGACATACACCACACACAAACTGACCCTGATGTACTTGCTGTCCGCTGAGAAGTCCATCTGAATAACAAAGCTGGGGATCCCCTTACAATAACCACTTCTATTGAGGGCAGGCCCTGAGGTGAGGTCATAAAAATCCACACAATTCTCCTCAGACCCAACAGCCAGGTGCTTCTTATCAGGACTGAATCTATGTGTAAGAAATTTACATCTAATTCATTGTACAGCATAAACTATTTTATTTATCCATGCCAAAATCTTAACAATCTATTCAAATTTAACTTTTGAGTTCTTTTGCACAAATTTTTTTGTTCAATGATTTTGCTTGATGACCCCCTTCTTATTAAAAAAAAAGAGATTTTAAATGGCTAGAAATTGTAAGTATTAACAAAGGTTGTGGTTTGTAACTTAGCCCACTTTCACTTTCACCACAATAGTTGTGTGTATGTTTCATAAAAGCTTTAGTTTTGAAAAGACAAGTTTTCTGAAAAATTTTTCCGTAATTTTGGGGGTAAAGGTCGATGGGGTATATAGGTCGAAAGGCTCATTTTCAGCCGTAATTTTTAAAAAATCCTTAGATAGGACGAATCCGGAAGATAGGACGAGGCTTTGTTTATCGATTTTCTAGAGATTCTTACGTATATACTACGTATCAGAACATGTAAACCTCTTTAACTTAACACGTGATATTAATGTATTGAGAAAATAAACTGGTATTTTTATGAGTACAGCATTTTAATAGTGTTTTATACAAACATAGTTAAAATTTCCTTGAATTGTGATATAACGTATTTTCTCCAACTTGCCTGTTCAATGCCGTCGTAGTTTGACTCTGTCCTTAAACACATAAATACGGTAGTATACAACAGCTATAATTAGGGAAATACCCGAAATCAAACAATAATCATTTCCATTTTAGAACATCTTGGACACATTCTTTTATTCCGACGTTATTTACCGGGGTACAATATTAACTTCGATGACCGCCATTTTTATATTTCTTGTCCAGGGATTTGCTAAAACACGCAAATGACTATTACCAGTACATGTAACAGTGAGCAATTGAAATTAATTATATTAACATGCTATAATTTTGCTTGAGATATTGCTGAAAAAATAAATTTAATTGAGAGTACATTCGCAATTTAACAGTCATTATGAATTTCACAGTTTTGTTTGTTCAATGATGTATAGCACTAATACCCCTGTAACGGCACGTGGATCTGTTAATCATGCCCCGCAGGTGTTTTAACCAACACAGGTGTTAACACCTTTGTGTACACAGTGTATATCCCTTTATCTGTCAGACAATTAAAATTCTATTAGAAGCCAATCTTTGTATAATTCAGTGTACCCCTTGGGATATAAAACAAAATAGTTATGACTAGCGGTATATTTGGTAAATAATTTTAGGAATTTACTGGCAACAATTTATTTCAAGTATTTTACATTTAAATAAATATCACAAGACAATGAAAAAATATTTAGGTATACTATTTCAATTAATTGTTACAAATAAATGGAAAAAAAGATAACAACTGCGATTGTGAAAACGCTTCCGTATTTTAAACTTTGATACGGTTGCGGTTTTATTTTTAGGAAGCAATTGCGACTTCCAACTTCACAAGATGGACACAGCATGTTGTAAATATATGTTGAGACATTATTTACTAGATGATATGTTTTTTTTTTGTACATCGACGGATATTTAATGGAACTTATTTTGTAAGAAATCAATGGAAGATATTTAATTCTTTATTGTTTAGTACTTTTTTCTCGGTAAAATAATTTAAAAGTTACGAAAATGGCACAGATTTGTTTTGAAATTGACGTAAATTTCACTAATTTGGGGGCATTTTTCATAAACTTGAGCCTTAGAAAGGTCGATTCGTTAAATTGGGCGACCCCAACGGTTCTGAGAAAAAAAGTATCGACCTATACCCCAAAACTTACGGTACATGTGACAATTATTAAAAGAAAGAACCCAATCGATATTACATGTGTAGCATGACTTACCTGATGTCGTTTATGGCCCCTGATCGATCTCGCCTCTTTCCCAGTAACTTTAATTCATTGGCCGAGAAGACAAGGAATTCCCCATTCTTACAGCCCACAGCGATTAACTCTCCATCCAGACTGAAGGCAACAGAGCGAGCAGCACTTACCGACAACTTACCAACCAAGGACTGAAATTATAGAATACTTTAGGTTTATGTAGTGTAATCAAATGCTTAGTATACAAGTGGCTTTTATCAGAGAGAGATCTAGAGGGATCCAAACAAACAAAACTGAAATTCATAATAATCTCTTTTCATCTCATTCTTATCAGATGTCTCAGTGATATATTTTTTTTACAATAAAGTCCAATACATAAAATCTTCGTAAGTCAAACCTTATTAGCCAGGTCCCACACTCGTACAGATCCGTCATAACTGCCGGTGACAAATCTAGAGACGAGGGGATGAGTGTCTAACCCCCACACTTCCCCCTCTCCATGCCCGGCCACAAGGACTTGGACTGCAGCATTCTTCTCTGTGATCTCCATGATTGTGTTGTCCTTTGTACCAACCAAAATCTTACCCTGCAAGATAAGATAAGGTTTAGTTTAAATGACTCAAATGTTCAGTCTTCTTATCTCCCCTTGATAAGGGAGGCTTTTCTTTTCAATGAACTTTAATTCCTTCATCCAAATATTGTGTGACAAATTAGGGAATATTGGCCTAGTGGCTCTAGAAGGATGTTGAAAATTGAGAAGTTAATGAGAACAGGTGATAGATAGACAGACGGCCTTACTGATGACAACCTCTGACGGCCTAGTGGCTCTAGAAGGATGTTGAAAATTGAGAAGTTAATGAGAACAGGTGATAGATAGACAGACAGCCCTACTGATGACAACCTCTGACAAGGAAAGCTCAATTAAGCCTCTGCTCAGGTGAGAAAACAAGTGAAGTGTGTATATATGAATTATGATGATTTAGAATAACATGCTAAGTAACACTTTGTAAAAAATAAGGCAAAATCTACCCAAAAAGGTTATCTCGGAAACAATCTCACCTTGATCCTACAAACTGATTTCACATCTATCTTGTTTCCTTTCTCAGTGAGAGAGAATGCCCTACACATCTCATAAAAATCTCACTTTGATCCCCCAGACTGATTTAACATCTATCTTGTTTCATGTCTAATGAGAGGGAATGCCCAACATTTCAGAACAATATCACTTTGGTCCTACAGACTTATTTAATAACATCAATTTTGTTTCCTGTCTCAGTGAGAGGAAATGCCCTGTATCTTATAACAATCTCACTTTGATCTCTATCTCATAACAGTCTCACCTTGATCCTACAGACTGATTTAACATCTATCTTGTTTCTAGTCTCAGTGAGAGGAAATGCCCTATATCTCATAACAATCTCATCTTGATCCCTATGTCACACAACAATCTCACCTTGATCCTACAGACTGATTTAACAACATAAATCTTGCCTGTCTCAGTTAGAGGGAATGCCCTATATCTCATAAAAATTTCACCTTGATCTCTACATCTCATAGTAATCTCACCTTGATCCCTATATCTCATAACAATCTCACCTTGATCCTACAGACTGATTTAACAACATCTATCTTGTTTCCTGTCTCAGTGAGGGGGAATGCTCTACGTCTCAGCATTTCCTGGTCCCACAGTTTCACAGGGCCGTTATCTTTACTTCTGTAACCACAATATAAATAAAGAACATTATTCTATCCAAAATTGTCCTAGGTACTGTTGCTTGACTTTTTTTCTGTTTTACATTTATATACATCTGTTCTTTCAATAAATAGGTTTGTAGAGAATTCTGTCAATACATACGATCCCTCCTTTCCACCAGTGACTATAAAACCATCTCTTAGTGTAGTAAACATGGTAAATACTGGTCCGTTATGGGCCTTAGGAACAATCCGGGTCAAGGTCATGTCCTTCCACACATACACATCTCCATTCATTGCCCCGGTGAAGGTCACATTGTTCTACAAAACAAGTTACTCAGTAAGAATACACGTACATTAAGTACAGTGTAGGTAAATCTAAAGGATTCAGTGGATTGACATCATGTGATGGAGATCACAGGTCACTTTCTAGAAAGCTCGAAATGAGCTAATTCTGGTCTTTTTTTTTTTGTATTGAAGTCTACAATGTTGGTTGCACATTGCCTCCAAAGCATACCTTAGACAAAAACATTCAAAAATGCACCATGTGCATTCATTTAAATTCAGTTCTTTGCAAACAGCTTTCTTCATAGATTATAAGGAGGAATAACTAGGAGTGAAACGGTTCACCGCGGTATTTTTTCTCGGTTTGATACACGGTGCAAAATCTCTAATTTTCGGTTCGGTTCATTTTTCGGTCGGGATCGTTATTCAGTCTGGTTTGCCATAAGGTAAAACACGTTATTCAGTATAAATAAGTATAGAAAACGTAAAATTTTGATGACTGATAGCTTGTAAAATAATTTTTGACAGTCAAATAATTTTAATCAATTTCTACTAGTCAATTTGCAGATAAAATTCGTAAAATATGTGACAAGATTTAGAAAAAGAAAGCATAAAACAATGTTGAATTTGTTTCCTTCTATCAAAATGTATCGTATCGAAAATAACCGAACCGAGACAAAATTATACAATACGTATCGAACCGTGAAGGAGGTGTATCATTTCACCCCTAGGAATAACAGGGAAGGTTTGATTTATTCTTTATGAGGAAGAATTCTTTATAACCATATATATTGTATACACATACAGCTCCAAATGCCACAGATAGCATGGTCTGTAGAGTCTTTATCTGTGTTCCTGTCCCGGCATCTGTCAGAATGCCTCGCTTGCCCACCAGTTCACTACCTGCTACAGTCCAAAACTTCACATGTTTAACACCAACAGACACAAACTGACTGTCTGAATCAGGGCGGAATTCAGCACGGAAAATTCGCTGGTTGTGTCCTGGGGCACTTGCAACTTTGACACCTAGAAATATCAAAGGTATATGTTTACTTAATATTGTGCTTGCTTTATCATAATTTTATCAATGCTGGATCTGTGTAATGAGAGGGCATAACCTGAGGACTTTTAATTATTCAAACATCTTGTCAACAGCAGAATTCATGTGGTCACTAACCTTCCTGCCATCTCCAAACAGCAATCTGGTGGTCATCAGCCAAATCCACAGACACTATATACTTGCCAGTACACGAGAAGTCTACTGAACACACCCCTCTAGAGTGACCTCCCCTTAGTATTGACTTTGTCTCCTTGGTGGCAGCATCCCAGATGTGAATGGATGGAGGATTTCCAATCTGACCAGATGCAACGATGTTCTTAAACTTGTTGTTTTGATTGGCTGCTAAACATATGATGTCATCTGTGTGTTCCAAGTAAAAACTTTGATGTCCTAAAATAGTAGAAACTATTTCATCTTTTGAATCTTTTAACTCAATAGCTTTCTTTAGTTTGGTTGAAATAAATTTTCTTTGAATTTTTTTTAAAAATCAAGTTTGATAAATATAAAGTTGTACTAGTATATTTATGTGACTAAAGAATTCTAATGTCAAAGATGTGTTACATAAACATTGCATATCACATCAGACAGAAATATAGATCTACACATTACTGTATATTTACATAGAGGATTTCAAAATGTAGCATTTGGCAGAAAAATGAATAACTCAAACCAAGTCAATACATAGAGGATTTCTATATTTATGTGATTTTTATTTCCTGAGTCAATGGCACATAATTTGATGACATAGACTTGTTGATGTTAAATACCCATAAAGTTTTTTGAAAATACAAAACATCAAAAACTTGTAACAATATCAGCTGTATCTTTTAAAATGCAAGTGACAAATCTGCTGGAGATTTACTTCATATAAACTTTTTGGAAATTGGAATATTCCAAGAACAAGGACCAAGGAATCATGACTGCCTACTCAGGATTTTCATGCATTTTGTAGATGGGAGTAGATGTTATATGCAGATCCACAGTAAGTTACAGGTATATGCTTATTGTATCATGTAAGACTCATTGTAGAAAGAGGCTTCACTTTCCAGCATGGTCAAAAAGGGTCTCACAACTTCCCTGATAGGCCTACCTAGACAATTTGAGATGGTGCTAAACATTGCAATTCCATATATTGATAATATTTGACATTTCAGTGAGGTATGTTGCCTATTTTCTTGTTTTTATCATTACACTATTGCTCATTATAGTTCATTTTATTACACAAAAACTTTCATATAAAAAGCTTAAGAAATGTACGTCTTGAGGCGAGTAACTGTGTCAAAACTTGAAAGTAATTGATATACATGTAGCAAACCCATGGATAAAGCATAGATTTATCTCATGGGTAGTATCCACCACTCGTATGAAATAAATGTACACATCACATACAGATATTCTGAACTTGACAGCAAAATCAATTTAAAAAATCTTTTTGAAGAATGTTATACAACCGAGTGTTTTTACCTGTAGACAGATTCTGAACAATCCCTGCTCCAGCTGCATGGAAAACAATGTCTGCCCCATCATTGATGTAGTGTGAGTTATTCCTGGAGTCAAAGCCTCTGTATCCATGGACATATTCCAACTGTAAGTCCTGTGTGGGAATGACAGTAGAGTGTCTGACTATTCACAAACAATTGATTTTGTAAAGTTACTTAAACTTGTATACGTACATGTGCACTAATATGTAAAAAATATAAACATGAAAATACTATATACAGGAAATTTTTTGCCCTGTTTTTATTTTCACCCCTTTCACCCTCACTGCAAGTAGATGAATTTAAGAGGGGCAAATTCAAAGGAAACAAGATTATTTTTTAAACACAACTGTGTCTGGGCAAATTTAAAAATTGTTTGCAAGTGTGAAAGGGCAAAAATAACATGTGGAGAAAATAACCCTGTATACAGTAAAACATGGAATGAAATAAGTATAAGACTGTCTGTAGGCCAAATATTTTCCTATCTTACATTGACTGGTGTTCTTTTCTTGCGTTTGGAACCAGAGCTGGGAATCTCTGCCCTCTGGACTTTGGGAGGGACAGGGGCATTTCTACTGACACTGGGTCTAAAAAATACATCAAGGCTGAAATCTCAACAATTCTTATAACAACCCATACTTTTTTAGTCTATTTTGAAGTCCCTATTGTGCTGTGACTCACTAAATTCTTCCAAGGAATTCAACAATCTTTACAATGGTCCTAAATTTTATTCTTTTTATTTCTTTTTCCACATATTGATTAAGATTCCCTTACTTTTCCACCTCTGTGTGCTCTTGCAGGTGAGGTTTTGTGCCCTCTTTCTCTCGGATTGGGTTGATGTATATCTTTGTGTTGTAATCCATATTTTTCTCTCGTTCAACATCACTGTCATAACCTGATTGTAGATGATAAAAAATGGTTCAATTTTCTCTCTCTCCTCAAAAAAATCAAACAAACAAAACAAAAACAGAGTGACTCCCAAAAAATTCAATTTCAACTGTTGACACCATTATATCTGTTAGCAGATTTTCTGACTTATAATACACGAATGATAAAAGGCATGCAAAGGAAAAATACATAACAAACATACACAAAACAATGTTAATTGTACAGTTATTGCTTTACACTTACCATGTATGTACTGAAAAAATCAAGTTCAACAGAACAAAATGAATATGAGACTAGTCTCTCTGTTTTCTGTCTTAGATTTACCTCCTTCCTCCTCTGAGTCTGTGTCCGAGTCATCACTTTCACCGCACGTGGTATTCCTGTCAGCCGCTGACGTACACTGCCACACCATAACAGCGGTATCAGCGCCACCTGTGGAAACTAGCAGCTTGTCATCAGAGGACCACCGCACATTGGTCACATGGGCTGAGTGACCTACATATCGTTTGTGTTTGGCAAACTTTCCCTGAAATTATTATGCACGTTTACATACATGTATATCACTATTTAATTTCATGGCAAATCATTTCATTTCATCACAAAATTGTTATGTTTGATTAACAGGAAAATGTGACACAGCTTCAAATAATAATCTACATTACAGTTACAGTACATCAAGTTTACATAAGAAAATCATACCTGTTTTTTGAATTCTCACAAAATACTTGTCAACACTAATATTTTTACAAAGCAACACCTTTTTTTTGATTTCAGAACATACACATATCTTAAACATAAGTCCATCTCACCTTAACTGGATACTGGAACAGTTTGACAAATCCAAAATCATCCCCGGTAGCTAATAACTGTTTGTCATTTGATAGAGAAGTGGCATTTACATCAGTAATGTCACTTTTTGGAGGCCAGATTCCCTCGCATGTCTTCCCAAGAACACAAGTCCATGACGCCCAGTCAATTTTCTCTATCTCCAAGTTACTGAGTGTCACTCTTCTTCCCCGTGGTGCCTCGTAGAACAACTGTTCCTTAGCTCCTGTGTTTACCATCAGTAACTTGCCTGTAACATTTAAACGCTGTACTTTTCAACGATGCAAAAAGAAGTTATTAAACAACGCACTGCAAAAAATCTTTCCAAGGCTTTCTTCCATTTCAAGTTATTTTCAAGAGAAATAATTCTCAACTTATGTTCTCTATCTAAGTCAATATTATGCAAAAACATCTCCTTGAGCGGTATAACTAGAGAGTGTCTCTTCTCTTGTCCGTTACCTGTTTTGTCCCAGTCCACGTGTGATATAACTGGATGCCACCTTACAGGTCCCCACCCTCTTCTTACTCAATTACCTGCTTTGTCCCAGTCTACACGTGTGATATAACTGGACGCCGCCTTACATATCCCCATCCTCTTCTTACTCAATTACCTGCTTTGTCCCAGTCAACATGTGTGATATAACTGGGCGCCACCTTACATGTCCACACTCTTCTTAGTCAATTACCTGCTTTGTCCCAGTCAACATGTGTGATATACAGTGGGCGCCACCTTACATGTCCACACTCTTCTTAATCAATTACCTGGTTTGTCCCAGTCTACATGTGTGATATAACTGGGCGCCACCTTACATGTCCACACTCTTCTTAGTCAATTACCTGGTTTGTCCCAGTCTACATGTGTGATATAACTGGATGCCACCTTACATATCCCCATCCTCTTCTTAATTACCTGTTTGTCATAGTCCACAACTCAAACATGTGTGATATAACTGAACGCCTACCTGCTTTGTCCCAGTCCACATGTGTGATATAACTGGACGCCGCCTTACATGTCCCCACCCTCTTCTTACTTAGGACATTGTAGATATCCACAAAGTTGTCATGGGAGGCCACTGCCAGGTACTTTCCCTCTTCTGAAATTCATCACAATCAGTGTACACCATGCCCATTATATTCAATGTATTTTATTTACATGAACTCATGGTATAAGTAAATACACTAAACAATCTACCAAGAATTAGTTTTTTACAATTCTGTACTCCTTACACTGTGAATAATCTCCTATGAATTACACAAGGGTTATGCACAGAGGATGTGATTTTACACTAGCTTTATCCAAGGAGTTGAAATGGTGAACATTTTTGTAAGGTTTTTCAGTGGAATATGCATCATTTCAATTAGCCTTGTTTCAAATGATACTGGTTATACACAGATGCATGAAATAAATAGAGGATATTCAATGTTTTGTAGATGAATATGAAATTTATTTCACGAGTGGGACAGGATTTTTTGATATTTTCATGAGTGCGAAGCACGAGTGAAAATATAAAAAAATCCTGTCTCACGAGTGAAATAAATTCCATATTCATCTACAAAACATTGAATTTTCTGTTTATTACATTTTCTTTGATTTTCCCTTTGCCTCTGTCTTTTCTTAACACAGTGTCATAGGCTTGACGTCATAGTTGAGCGGTTGAGACGTCATAGCCTAGCATGCAGAAAACATTACATAGCATGGATTTTAGCAACATATTTGGGAAGAAATTTGCAGTTTTAGCTCTATCAAGATGCTTAGTTACTATCTCTATCTTATGACAGGCCAGGAATTATTTTTTACTTACTTTGATATCCTTTCACACTGTGAGAGAATATCATTTTGGTATCCTTTCACACTGTGAGAGATTATCACTTTTTTTCAGTAAATAAATCACAGTATTTCACTTGTTGAAAATGTAATAAAAATGTATACTTTTAGTTAAATCAACAATCTTTTTTGCTACTGTTTACCTGGGGAGAATTTGATATCTGAGATTTCTTCTTTCCTGTGATGGAAGGAGATGACTTCTTCCATGTTGTCCACATTGACGACCATAAAACTCCCTGTAATGAGTCATGACATCTAACAACAACATAAAACTCTCTGTAACAAGTCATGTCATCTAACAACAACATTGGTAATACAACATCACTAAAAATCAAGGAAAAATATCAGCTCTTTTACCACTTAACATGTTAACAAGGAATAGTTGTTTTCTTTAGAATATTTGGACAATCTGCTATTTTGAAGAAATGTACAAGTAAATATTGAATATATCATATATGCTTTAGTTACATTTGTACAAGTATTCTGGCATGGAGATTATTTTGAATTCTCATCACAACACTATATGAAGGTACTGAAATTCCACCTTACATATTAGTGATCAAATAATTAACATGCCTCTTACCAAATATATTGATTTTTCTACTTAAAGAAAAAAAACCATACCATCTTTTTGTCCAATGGCCAGAAATTTTCCATCAGATGAGAAAGTCACACTTCTAGCAGCCTGTTTGAGGACTTTGTAGTTAATCAATCTGTGATCAGATCCCAAATCCCACACCCTCAGAGTTTTATCATCACTCACTGTGGCACAAATCTGCTGGGTGGGGTGCATTCCTAACCCCCACAGCTCTCCCTGCATGTGGCCCTACAATGCACATAGAATTTTAAACATCTCATCTGGCACAGCTGCTCATCTCCAGAAATATTCTGGGATGGGTGGGTCAAGATCCATTTAAAAGACAAGTAACTGTTTCTTGTGTTTTTTAATTGTGTGAATTACATGCAGAACATTCCAAGAATTTTTACCTCTAGTCTACACATACAACCAATACAAACTACTGTAAACCAACTTTTATTCGCTTGCTAGAAATATTTGTGAGTTTTGAGACTTACATTTACTCTCAAATATTAATCACCGTGAATCATTTATTTTGCTTTGTATTTGTAGAGAATGTTACCTCAGTCGCGAAAATTAATTGTCGTGGATTGATTTTAAACTGACGAATCGTGAATAAAAGATGATGCGAATAATAGTTGGTTTACAGTAATTGCTATCATATATGATGCATTATTTATCTAACTCAGTAAAACAGGTTATAGCGAATACACTAATAATGAATTTACAGCAAAGTGAATTTCATTCATAATAGTTTTAAAACATGTTGTGAACAGAATGGGTACAACAAATTACATTTATAAGGAATCAAAATTGTTGTCCCTGGACATCTATTCACAAAAAATCGTAAGTTTACGACTACCGCTTGAACTTACGATAATCCTACGCTTTAAGTTACGAGCTATTCATGGAAGTGGTCGTAAGATCAACACATTGTCGTAAGTGAAAAACGATCGAAAGATTTTCTCTTCCCTAGTTACCGACAACTGCTCATGCGCAGATGAAGCAATGCGAAACCCGATGACGCAATCTTGAACGCAAACAAATTAACTACGTGAAATCGCCAATATACCATGATTACGGGTTGTCTCAGTTCCAATTCATTCGTATATATTATTATATTTCATGCCATATTGTTTGTTAACAATAAGAAAATTTTGAAAATCAACATAAACGTTTTTGGTAAATTCACCGCAGCAAGACTGATATTATAATAACAAATGAAAATCAATATTAACGTTTTTGTTCACTGCAGCAAGGGTGATTTATAAGTTGTAGGTAAACAATAATAGCTGCAAAGTTAGACACTCCCATTCAGTTATATCTTGGAAATCTTTTATATGATCACTGCTCAACTAAATTTACATTGATAAATGATTCAAACTATAGCAGCTTCTCTTTTACCGCATGACATGGAACATCAAAAACTCAACATGCTCAATATTCAAAACTTAATAACAACAAATTATGGATTTAACTTAGAATTATAAAAAATATTCTTCAAGGAAAATATAAAAAGCAAAATAGTTTTTCCTTTGAAAAAAATATGAAGTTTGAAAGGATGTAGTAACATTCTTGTGTGTGTTTGTATGTGTGTGTGTGTGTGTGGGGGGGGGGGGGGGGTAAGTAGGTGAGTGCGTGCATAACAGAAGTTAAGCAAGTAATAATTCATATCAGGATCTATGTGCTCTTTTGCGAGGGGATGCTATGCTCTGCAGTGCCCTTGTTAAATTAAATATTCATAAAAAAATTACTTTAAATTTTTAGCGTCATACTGAGAAATCAAGTCTGGAATACGTACATGTACACTAATCACAGTTTTTTTTTAAACAAAATACTTAATAATATAATCAGAGGTGTGAAGTCATGTTTTGTTTTTTTTTTTTTTTTTTTTTTGGCTTTTTTTTAGAGAAAAAGAACATGTTAAATATTAATAAAAGGCCAATTTTGGCTAGAAAATGTTCAATATTTATTCAAAGACCTCTTTTCTAGATCTAGCAATTAGAAAATTTTTAATAAATTTGAGATTTGTTTCGATTGATAACTCGATCTGAAATATAATCAATATTTGCAATCAGACAGTAATTAAAAAAAATCTTATACCTGTTCAAATAGCAGAAATTTTAGCGAGGATTCAATTTGGGCATATTTAGCGAGGTTGTTGAGATCATTAACATTAAATATCGCTAAGAATTCATTTCATATTGGAGGTTACTCTTTTCTTTCTATGTATTTCAAAATCGCTAAAATTAATTCTCGCAAAATTGAATATCGACTTTTTAGGAAAAATCACTAAATTTGCATCTCGCTTCAGATTCCATTCATATAGTCTAATGCATGGTGAAATTTTGTTCGATTCATAGGGATTGAAAATGGGTCACTCTTAAAAATGGTCTGTTTCTAAGACTTAGTAGAGCCTCGTTAAGTATGTCTTGGACAATAATTTACATTTCAAAGTCTTATTTTATTTCATCACTTCCACCGGGAATTCTGTATGGATTTCAGTATTTCTTAATGTTGTCCGATCCACCATGAGATTCAAGAAATTTACAGATTTTGTATGGATATATGTAGAATACTTGAATCTGACGATTTGAGGTACCCGCGGAGACCGGCGTCAAACTTGATTGTATCCACAGGGACGGAAAATTTTGATAGGCACAGAGGGCGCAGCCGATTGAAAAATAATTAAAATGTATTCAAAGTCAGTTAACCACCAGAAATTATTGAAGGCATCATAAAATAAAAAGTTGAATCAAGCAAAAATGAAAATAAAATTCTAATGTATATTGTTCAAATTTGCTGAGAAATGAAAGAAAATACATGTGATTAAAATTAATGTAGTTCGAATAAAAAAAATTTTTGGTTCAATTTGAAACAAAATTGAAATAATTTTACAAATGATATTGACTGTATAAAGCTTGTCTCGGCAAAGTTTATTCTATGGTACAAAAGTTTTTTCCTTGACGTTTATAAACAAGTACATAGTTTTCCTAGAAGCGAATATTTCCCAGCATCATATATTTTTTTTAATAAAACTATTCTTGAAAAACATAGTGACGGGTTGAAAAATTTCTTTTTAAGTAAATACAATAAAAATATGAATATCATACCCCTTTTTCACACTGGAATTCATGAAAATTGGTCCCAGGACAGGTTGCGTTAATGCGTAGTACCCCCACCTTTTTTTTTTTTTTTTTTTAGAGAATTGTCTTTTTCATTGAAGGCAAGCGATTAACCCCTACTTTTATAAAATTTAGTTTTGGCAAATTACTCTCTTAACTTTAGTTTCCAAAAAATTATTTTGTTGAAAAGAGAATATAATCCCCCCCCCCCCCTTAAATTTTTTTTTATAAATTTTTATTCATGTCAATTTTTTGCAAGCATTTTGTTTTCGTTTTTTTTTCTTTATTTTTTGCATTGTCAATATATCTTTACGGGGGTGACACTCCCTTTTGACTTCCTCTCTTGGTAAACGGTACCATTTCTCCGTCAGTCAGTGATTCAAACAGATTTGTGCCGACCCGAAATATTTTTTCCTGCTCCGTTTTGATTATTTTTTTAAGGTAAAGATAACGTGGTGGCCATTTTTATTTTTAGAGTTGATACAATCTATAGTATTTATAGACTTACGTCAACTAAAGACTAGACGTAAACTTACGACTGTTTTTGACGTAACGTCAAACGTACGATTTTTTGTGAATAACCAAAATCTTAAGAAAAAAACTTCCGACAATCTTACGACTATGACTGATCGTAAGATATTTTGTGAATAGATGTCCTGGCACTTTGCTATAAGTGTATTTTACTGTTCATGTAAATTCTGCAAAATAAACATGATTCCAAACTAATCCTTAATAATTCCCTCCCAATACCTGTGCCAGGATTGTCATGGGTCCGCCTTTATCCACCTCCAGAACCTCCCCATTTTTGGTCCCCACCAGGATTTTGCCGTGACCCAGAACAATGGCCCTCACAGCTGGTAATTCTGTCATAAGCATACCTCTAGACGACTGCTCAATGCCTGATTTTTTGATGTAGTACTGTTTCAGGCATCGCTCAAACTGGTCATCCCACAGACCAATCATACCATCCTTACCCCCGGTCACAAAACCCTAGGGGAAAAAACAATGTTTACTTAATTTTTCTTAAAATTATTTCGTTTACATTAGATGTAAACCACTTATTGCACATGTAAAGTATTCAGAGTGTGCTTTAATGAAATCATAATTTAGTGCTGTTTTACTGTGTAAAATATCCTTCTTAATGTGATCTACAGCTCAATTAAAATTTCTTCATGTATAAAAAGCATTTCTCCCCCCCCCCCCCCCTTAAAACTTTTAATTCATCTTCAGTTACTCACATTTCATGAACTTCAATAGGAAACCAATTAAAATAGGACTTTACCTTGTCAAGTGAGTGCATGGCAAACAAAGGTCCTTCATGTGCCTTGACTGACTTCTGCAGTGTGGAATCTTTCCAGATAAAAACATTACCATCACTTCCTCCAGAAAAACTAATGTCTGCTGCCTTTCCAAATGCCACACAGAGCATGTCACATGACTTAGACACGTTACCAAAAGTACCACGCGTGGATGTGAATCCACCACCTAAAAAAGGAAAAACAGCAGTTTGTTTTCACATTCCCTGTCAGCGTGATAATTTACTGGCATTTATTTGGTGTATTTAATACTTGCCTGCTTGAGACCAGAATTTGATGTGTTTAACTCCTACGGTTATCAACTTGTTGGCTTCAAATGGATTCCACTTGATGACAAATATCTTATCTTTATGGCCTCTGAAATAAGAATGATGACTCAAACATTTACTTACTATATGAAAGGTTTGTTTGGTAATATCATTAAATCTCTACTCTTCTGACATTTTTCCTTTCTTGTGCAGTATACATCTGCATGTATGAAAGATTAATCTTGGGGGCTTGCTTATATGAGCATATCAAAATTGTTTTTCAGTGAAGAAGAAATTAATATTTCAGATGGAAGTACATGTATGTCATTAACAAAAAGAAACTTGATTTGTTTCTACTATGTGAAATGATACTGTTTAATGGCATACCTAGTAGTAGCAAGTTTTTCTCCTTTCCTCCAATCCCAGACGACGATACAATGATTGTCATCCAGTCCAACAGAGGCCAACTTTTTACCATCACCTAGTAAATATACACCGTGAAACAAGATAACATACAATGTTTTAAATCCCAACTAGAATGATTTTGCTTTGTGACAATATATTAAGCTGCTTCATTGTTACACTGTCTCTGTACCTGAGAAATCTACAGCACAGACTCCTCTCTGGTGCTGCCCTTTCAGTATGGATGCCGTCTTCAGAGTTTCTGCATCCCAAATGTGTACAGCAGGGTCCCGACCCACCTAAATTTGAAAAGATTAATTTTGTTTAAAAGGGTAAGAAGTTTCAACTGTAATTCCCTGTCCCCCTTCCCTATGATCCCAACCCTGATTAAACATTGCTACACACCTGTCCTGTAGCCACGAGATCTTTGATGGGGTGGATACACAGACATAAGATGTCGTCTGTGTGCTCTGTGTAAAACTTCTGTGTATGCTTCTCTCTATTGTACACGATACCAGCGGCGGCCACATGGTATACCACTTCACCATTTTGTGTGTAGAACAAATTGTTGCGGCAGTCATAGCCCCTGTACCTAAATATTAAAAAAAAAAATTGGTTAGTGTAATACTGATTCATGAGGAAGTTACATCAATAAACTTAATTTGTCCCATTCAAATATATGCAAAATTTCCCTCCTTACCCATGAATGAACTGCAGTTTCAACCCTGCAGTTGGACCCCGTTTACGTTTCTGTCCCGCTGGCAGCTCATCCTTAATCATTTTTCGGATTTTTGCAGCATCCTCCTTATAGATGGCTCTAGAATACACAACTTGTTTCTCAGCCTCCAAATCCGAGTCCATGTCTGCAACATCCGATAAATCGGAGTCACTCTCCTCACTGTTAGAGTCCACAAAACCTGTCAAAAATTCATAAATGGCAAGAAATTACTACCTAAAGTTTCATGTATATATATTTCCTGTAAATGTTTTTGTACAGTTTTTACTTTTAATAAATAGTTTACTTTTTTTCCCCTCTTTTTTGTTGGAAATAAGCTTTTATTTAGTCTTTACCTGTCTGGCTATTGTATTAACCATAATTATGTCTTCATTCCATGTTGCATACAAACCTGATTGAGGGTCAGGCTCATTACTTCCGTCCAATAAAAACTTCCACTGGAACATGGCGTGGTCGGCACCCCCTGTAGAAATGACCCTCGTCTTGTCATGAGAAAATCGCACATTGGTAACATGAGCTGAGTGTCCCACATACTTCCTAAACTTTGCACCTAACAGTAAAGACAAGATGTATGCTTCTTGTACACATCTTAGTGACTTTATTTTCCTCTAAAAATACCACACATTCATAAAATTTATTGTTTTTGATGAAAGTTAAAGCTTATTTGTAGTGCTGTCAAATCCGACGATTTTTAGTAACCGGTTACTCGCTTACTTTTCCGATCGAGTAACCGATTACTCGGACAGATTTTCTTTAGACCTAAAGCATTTTTGTTTGCGGTATATATACTTCAGTAGTAACTATAATATACATTGCATAACGTCGTTACGCTTTCTATATTTATCTCATCATTTGTATACCGGTACATGTATACAAAACACAAATTCACTGCATTTGAATTTTATTTATAATTACAAACACACAATATCCTCTTAATAAATTCGTTCTCGAATACCCGTAATAAGTGGTTGTTTTGTGGAATGTCCTTTTCATAACTGATTTCAGAGTTAAATTCAGTTTAAAGTGGTTATGCATATTTGTTGTCCCATCCGTATTTGTTAATTCCATTTCACATATTTTACACCTCACGGACGTAATTTCAGTCATTCTTTTAAAATATTTCCATGCTTTTGATGCATATGGCGGCATCTTCTTTAATCTTGTAATGTGGACAAGCATAAGTTTATGTGAGGTAATAATAATTAACTCAAGCCCACAGAACTTGTATACCCTTGGCAATCAAAGTCATCAATTAGATAAACTGTGAAATACTAATCAAAACAGACCGATCTGCAAAATGCTAGACTGAGACTTACGTTGAATAACGGAAAATAACTATGTAAAATACTATATATCCGAGAAACCGAGTAGTAATTTTACTAACACCGATACTCGCATCGTTCGACGGTTAATCGGTTAACCAGGTACTCGTTGACAACACTACTTATTTGCAGTTTCCTGACTAACAATGTATTTAATTCTGTTAGAAATGAACCCCATTAACCTTTTTTCAAACACGGAAACTTAAATAGCTTAACGAGTCCAAAATCATCCCCAGTGACCAGGACTTCCCCTTGGAAATATGCATCCACAGCATTGACATCGTTAGTATCGGTGTACTTTTCCCAGATTCCGTTGACCTCGTTTCCTAGGACACCAGTGAACGTGCACCAATGTATGCTGGAGATCTCCTCTTTGTTAGTCACTTGCTTTCCAGCTAATGGAGTTAAGAATTGGGACATGTAATAAGTTTTATACAGATAAAAATAGAGATTTATACAGAGTACGAAAGTATACCAATGTGAAGATTACAAAAATAATCATTAGTAAAATATTGAGCACATCACTTTTTTTCCAACTGAATTTTTAACATATACGTATACACTCTCTCAATTATTACTACATTACAAGTATTACATGTATATACAGACTGAATTTGACAAATCCTATACTGTAAACCAGCTTTTATTCGCGTGTGAGAAATATCTGTGAGTTTCGCGACCTACTTTAACTCGCGAATATTAATTGCCGTGAACCATTTATTTTGCTTTGTATTTGTACAGAATGTTTCCTAATTCACAAAAATTGTCACGGATTGATTTCAAATGGACAAATCGCTGTAATAGTTGGTTTACAGTATACTGTTCAAAAGAAGTCTGTACCTAGTTATGAATGAGAGGCAAACACTGACCTGGCATCTTGTAGAAGAGTCTCTCAGCAGCCCCACTGTTTGTCTGTAGGTATTGACTGTCTGTAGACCAGTCTATATGAGTGATAAAACTTGAGCTGCCACGACACGTTCCCAGTAGTTTATACCGCTGTTCTGTCGAGTAAATGTCCACAAAGTTGTCATTAGAAGCAACGGCAAGGTATTTACCACAAGGAGAGAACTTCATCTCATGTATAACCTCCTTCCTGTCCTTCAGGTGGACGACTTCAGATAAATCTCTGGATAGAAACACATTGTCTCATGATGAAATTCCAACAATATATACATCACTGCTCAATGACCTCAATGAACAATGCCTAATAATTCTCTTTTTTAAAATCATAATTGAATTTTAAAATGTAATTTTAAGTTTTCCCCTTTTGCTTCATCAAAAATTCACCAAGTTTTGCTGCAAAAGATGGAAGAACCACTCCTACATGCATTGCTTAACATTTCAAAATCTACTCAACACAGACCTGGTTTTTAAAACCATGAATGAGCCATCAGTGAGACCCAAGGCAATATGGCTTCCATCTGCATCAAAAGCACAGCTCCTGATTTTCTGGTCAACAGACATCTTGGATAGAATCTCAAAATTATTCATATTCCACAGCCTAAAAGAAATGTCAGTTTTAATCACTTCATCAATTTGAGTATTTTTCACAATTATTTAAAAAGTGTAAGAAAAGAAAGTTTTCACTTATATACATGTATATACATTTGCATACATGTACATACACACAACATATTTTACTGCTGAAGTACACCCATTAAAGAGTATGGTAATTATAATCAACAAGTACTGATATCACATGTTACATTTGAATTCTATATACAGAATACATACAAGTACCCCCCCCCCCCCAAAAAAATAGTGAAAAATCTAAATTAAAGAACATTTGATTATGACATATACTATACCTTAATGTCTGGTCATCACTTCCTGTGGCAAAAATAGGTTTCTTTGGATGGACTGCCAAGGCCCACAACTCTCCCTCTGCATGGCCATCCACTAAGCAGTGTGGCTTGTCTCTATCTCGGACAATCACCTCAAATATCTGGCTGTCCTGTGTCCCGATTAGCACCCGATCCCCTCGCCAACAGACACTGCGTACCGTTAATCCTGAAAATCATCAGAAAGCATTGAAACCCTCAGGGTATTTTTATATAAGTACTAAGAATTGCACAAAATGACCTCTTAAAACTATTATATGAGTGACCTATGGTTATTTAAGAGATCTTGAGAACCAAACCATATATTGTATAGCTTACTTACCTTTATATCCAGATGGTGAGTTGGCCAGGTTAATGCTGGTGACGGGTTTAAAGTCTGGATCCCACAGTTTTACCACCCCATCCTTACCCCCTGTACTGTACCCATCTTCTGACATGTCCATTGTAAATATTGCACCCTGTCAATCATAAGTGTTAGAAAATTAATAAAGAAGCAACATCAAGCTGCAGATATATAGATGACAGTTAATTGCTAAAAAGGAGCAATTTGTGTAAAGCCACTTATGCAAGTGTGTTACAGGTGTGGGTGTTTCTATGCAAATGAGTTTATTAAAATGAATAAGAGGTATTCCTATTATAAAGAGGCTTGAACTCACTTTCTAAAACATACTTGATACCCACAACATGATATAGCCAGTAAACATTTTTACATTACATTATGAGATCACTGTTCTGTTCTACCCAAAGTAATAAAGGATATCAACAAAATACTTCGGTGCAAAGGCAGTCCCTATTTCATTTCACAGAAACATGGTACATGTGTAATGATAAGAATATCCTACAGATTGATGAAATTCCTCCACAAATCCTATGTACTACATGTATCTTATTTGATCACAATTTTAAGAATTTTACCTTGTTTCAACTCATAACTCTACAGATACGTAAATTAACAATCGACCTGTCGACATCTTGCAGCAATATCATCAATCTTTGGAATATTCTAGCTCTTATTATACCTTGCTTCTGTAAAATGAAGTAGGATATTTCCTTTAAATAAATCAATCTTTAACTTATCTACCTCCATTCCCTACATGTAGACTAACCTGATGAGCTGCCGGAATAACTCTGTCTAAGTTGCTTCCTCTCCAGACGTAGACATCTCCAGCCAATGTTCCGGAATATGTCGTGTCGTCTGGACCAAATGCCAGGCAGAGAATCGTCTGGATCTCCCCTACCTTCCCAAACACACCTTTCTTTGGAGTCAGAGCATTACCACATAGAGACCAGAACTTGATGTGTTTAACACCACAACTTACTATGCTGTTCCCTGCATAGGGGTTAAACTGGACATCAAAGACCTTAGAAAGAAATTAATACATCAATTTACATGAGCTTGAAGTGTGTTTTTTACAGTACAAATATAAAATTACCAAGTGATCAAGTTAGGCTACAGTGCCTTTTTTTCACTAATTCTGATTACTAGTAATGTAAATCATGATTGATGGTGACTCACCCTATCAGAATGTCCCCTGACTGTGGCCACTATCTTGCCTTTCCTCCAGTCCCAAACATTAATGGTGGAGTGCTGATCCAATCCTACTGACACCACATGCTGAAAGATAAACCAATCGCATAAAGTCATTTCTATATATTCTATGTACATTAAACTTTTGAGGTGAGAATCACTCTTTTCTCATTCATTGCTTTACTGAAGTCTTTAGCTTGTAAACAGTTGTAATCTGAACATTAGTTCTAGACAACTGTAGGCAGTGTCTTCAAAAATAAAGTGCACTGCCACGGCACACAATACGCCCATCAGATATTGTTTATTTATCATAAACAGGTGAGTGTGATGGAAGAAAAATCATCTCAACCTTGGTACAGAAATTTCAATAATTTCTCCATTTCTAATGTTTGATATGCAACTCCTACACTCCTATTAGAAAAAAAATATTACATCTTAAATTTCTTAACTGGTCATGACACAAATGCCCAATCTACAGCTAAATGTATTGTTATGTTTATAACAATGAAACTTTTGCTTCCATCTATAATCTTTGAGACATGTGGGAGACATGACACTCAGCAACTTAGTTATTTGAATATGTTTAAAAAAAATTCCTGTCAAATCATACATAGAAAAAAAATATTTAATACAATATCAATTTAATTTTTTATAACTTTAAACCAAATTGATTTTTAAAAAACAAAAGGCTGGCCATCAAGAAATATTTAATTTAACAAATCCTATCAATTGCAATTACGAAGCCAGATCTTTAATTCCTCTGACCAATACCAAAGAGATATGGATAACACCTGCTAGGGATTCTCCCACAGAAATGATTAAGACAACCTGCTTACATTAAACTCATTAATTAATCTTTAACTTGACAGATCCAATTTGTCTCCTATCAAAGTCAAAATGAACTTGAAGAACTTTTATGCCTTAGACAATTACTCCCACAGGACAAATGGAATTACTTTATCTGTTGTTGTGATGAACTAATTAAGCTTAGCATATTTAAAGTACATGTATAATATAACTGCATGATTATGTCTTTATTGTTAGAAACGACAGAATTTTAAAAAATGTTGCATAGCTGTATTTCTTTATGTATCATTCATTTGAAAGGTTACAGCAGTAGTAATAAATTTCTAAGAATTGCCTCCCTTAAAACATAGTATTTCTTCTTTTAAATCACCTTAACTAGTACTAATTGTAACGGGGGCCATTACAGATATTCCCCAAACACTCCCTTATGGGCCCTATTCCCTACAGTTTCATTAAATTGGGCAATTCTTTTGTGTAATAAATCTACATTTTATTTTCAGAAGCATTTAATCGAAAAACAATGCCGGTGAAGTCCTTTAGTATTAGCCAATCAGATTTCAGAACAAGCACATGCCCATGTTTTGTAGATATTGTCTTCCTCGTCAAGAGACTCGACACAATAAATACCTATGTAAGAAATCTCAAACATTTGTAATGAAAAAACTATGAGATATACAGCCACAAAAGTATCAGCCAATCAGAATCCAGCACACCTGCATGCATGTTCTTGTATCCGCTTTTGATAGTTGCACAATGTAGGAACCCATTTTACCTATCTATGTTCTAAATTTCATCCTGTTTTATTGAAAACTAAGAAAGTTACAACCATTTAAAGTTTAAGCCAATCAAATTGCAACAGGTTCAATTGTGCATGCAGGCGTTTTCACGTTATCTCATGTATATCATAATGTAGAACCTCCTAATGTTTGACTACGTTTTAAATTTCAAGGTATTTCGTCAAAAAACAAGAAGGTTATTGAGATTTTTTTTGTGTCAGCCAATTAGAGTGAAGCACCAGGCATACACATGCTTTCTTGCTAATTCAACCACTTCATCTTGCCTACAACACTAATCTATATTTATTTAAATAAGCTTAAAGATTCAAACCTTATCATCAAAAAATAGAAGTGTTAAAGCTTTTTCAATTGTATCAGTCATTCCACTCCTCACATGCGCAAGCACGTACATGCAAGTGCTTACAAAATGAACTTTGCTCCGCACAACTACACAACAAGCCTGTTAACCCTAAAAGTTTCATGTCAATCGGATGAGTAGTTTCTGAGAACACTCATGGACAAAAAAATACCAGAGCAGAAATTTTGAAAAAAGAAAGCAAAAACAATATATTCCCAAACTTCGTCTAGGGAACATAATTAAAGGTCATGGTGACCTTCATTTAGGTGCAACACATTTTCTACCCTTACATAAAATGCATTATCTGTCCAAGTATGATGAATTTTAGACCTGGCTGAATAATTTTTCAGTTATGAGTCAGACAGGGTTTTGCCACATTTGGCCATATCTTCTTAATTAAAGGTCACAGTGACCTAATTTTTAAGCCTGACAAAGCTTCTACCCAAGATGCATCAGCTGACAAAGTTTGATGATTCTATGCCTCATAGTAATAAAGTTACCAGCTGGACATGACAAAGCTAACAGACAGACAGATGGACATGATCGCCATGCCATAATACGTTCGGTCATAGACAGAACAATAAAAAATGAACTATGATCCCCATCTTTACCCCTCCATCTTTGTCAAATGCTACTGCTGCAACACCATTCTGGTGACCATCACGTAGAATGGAAACTGTTTCCATGGTAGTGGTATCCCATACACAGATAAAGGGGTTCTTTCCTGTCTGCCCAGTAGCAACCATGGTCTTGTCTGGGTGGAGAGCCAGGCTAAAATGTATAATTTAAAATGAATCAAAGATATTATACACTTTGACTTAAAAATCATAATCAAACTCTAATGTACTGTTAATACAAATACAAAGCCTTATAATAAATCATCTCACAGCAGACAAATGACCACTTATAGGCTTGGGTTATGAAATACTTTACATAGTAATCATGGGCAAGGAGAGTTATACAAGATACATGTACCGGGTATTACATTTAACCCATAATTTATTTTCAACTCTAAGAATGCATGAAGTTCTAAACCATCTCAACAATAGGGGTATCTACGAATAATTTGTGTCTTGGAACAGCCATTTGCTGGGTCCATAGAATAATGTAATTTTAAGAATTTTGCAGAACATTTTACAATCTGGGACATCTGATCAACCAAAGGTAAAAGGTGGGAGGGGGGTATTAAATTCATATCCTTTTATTTCCGTAATCTTCCGTAATATTTATGTATCTTTTAGAATTGTACTACAAAATGTAGTTGCACCATAAGAGTATTAAGTGGGATTTTGAGTTTACTATAGCATAGTTAGGTTACACGACCCTGATACTTTTAAATCCGAGAAAATTCGAATTAGTTAATAGCACCCAACCTAATAACCGACAAAATTATTTTATTTTACTGAATGCAGATCTCAGTAAATAAATTCACATCGAAAACCCCAAAAACGAAATGCTAACCATAAAATATCGTCATCGTGTCCTAGAAAAAATCGTTGTTTATGTTCTCTTGGGTTGTAAACAATGCCTACACCGGCCACAAAATAGGTAACTTCTTTGCTGGCAGTGTAATATAGGTTATTTCGACACTGATGGCCCCGGTAACCATACACCCATTCCAGTCTTAGCTGACTTTTGGGTGCAGTTTTTGTCGCCATTCTGCAATGATCCTCAAAATACTTTACAGGCAAATCATGCACCAACAAGAATCGACATTTCCACCAGCCGCGCTCGACAAGGAATTCCCCTCACGTGACTTTAAGACCAATCAGATTTTATACGGAATCTCCCTGTGGAATTTCGAGTCCGACAACTTTTAAAAGCCTACTGTGTTGTCCTCCTCCCAAGTAAGGAACGACTTGACTTTACCGGTCCCCAGAAAAACGCGCTAAAATATAGTGTCGCCGTAGGCGACTTCAATATATATGAGATCGCGTGAGCGATCGAAAAAAACTTAAAATATGAGGTTTTAAGCCTTTTTGACCCCAAAATCGAATTCTACGGTTAAAAGTTCAGTTTAAGACTTCGTTTTTAAACGAAGTTTTTAACCTCGTTCTCTGAAAAAAAGTAATAACTATTGTTTATTCAGTGAAAAGGAGACACAAAATAATTGTGAACGGAGCGCGTACGGCGCATCTTTTCACTCGGCACACCTTGACCGATTCGTACCTCAATCTAACGATGAAGGTGACGGAATCAGCCGAGGTTTGCCGAATGGTTTCTTAACGAGATGTCGTTGAAGCTGAATTAAGATCTTGCAAAAAATACAGATGCAACTGAATTTCTTAATTAATCTAAAAGAACAAGACACTAACCCTAATCTCTCAGATGGTATGCGAGGACTAACCCAAATCTCCCAGGCGGATGCTAGACTAACCCATGTGTGAGGACTAACCCTAATCTCTCGGATGGATGCGAGACTAACCCTAATCAGTTGAAAACTTATGGAAGGACTAACCCTAATCTTTCAGGTGGGTGCAAGACTAACCTTTACCAGTCGAAAAATGTGCAAAACCAACCCTAATCAGTTGAGTGACGTAAGTCTTACGTCATAGTGCAATGAGCACGCGGATCTTGCGGATTTGGGGACCGGTAAAGTAAAGTCTACCCCCAAGTAAAAAAAAAAAAATGCTCGACCAAGGAACATCTGGTGCCAACTAAATTGCTTAAATATAAAAAGCCTCGATTTCTTGTAAATATTCCAATAGATTTGTCATCGTACCTCTGTTTGTATATTCATATGGGGAAATTTCTGTGGATTTTCTCCGGTGTGGTTATATACTGTATCAACCAAAGCGCAAACAATGCTAGTCTTTATATTACATGAGAAAGTGCGAGGCAAATAATGTCAACAGTTTTCAGGAAAGGATCCAAAACTTTTACAGATTTAAATTAAAACTAGAAACTTTATTCTCAGTGAACAATAAGAGGTCTTTCAAAATTTTTTTTAAGGGGGGTTACTCTTTGTGCTCAATCATGACAATGATAATAATGAATACAAAATAAAATACATGTATATAAAGAAAATAAACGAATAATCAAAATGCAAAGTGAAATAAACAAATAAATTAAAATATGTGTTCGAAACGAATGTCAGACATCTTGGCCCAACGACACCTCGGCCCATTGACATTTCGGCCCCATGACATCTCGGCTCAAACGGGTCGGCCCAAGATTCAAGACAGGTCGGCCCATGCATAAGACACCTCGGCCCAAGCAAAATTTAACTATGAAATACATGTATATATTTCCAATTTTTGGACTTGAATTAAAATGTTGATTGAAAAAAGTACATGAATAAACTATCAAGATTTAAAAAACAAAAAAGATCTTCCACGAGCACACTGACGATATTCAAGGAATGAGAAGACAATTTAATGCTATTAATGCTATTAATTAAGTGCTAATTGATAAACAAACAAAATACCGCAGCGCATCCTTTTGGGGGTCAAGCGCTTGTTATATTGGTGACAACAGGGGGTTACGGTAATTACGAGCAGACTTAATTGGGAGACAGTAATTGAATAATTTCTTAAGAAAAACATTTACCTTCATAAATTTATTATCGTCGCTTATAACTAGTTTGAGTCCATTTTTTCCCAGGCTACTTGTATCAATTAAGGTCAAGATCTAGTAAATGACTTTAGACTGTCTTTTTGGTGCTAGATCCATTATGACGTCATAATCAGTTTAAAAATTTCTTTTTCCCGTACTTTGCGGCTCTAATAGAATAATGTAGAAAATAAAGTTTTTTCATAGAATTCGATTTGAAATCATGTGAAAATTAATCCGGAAACCTATATTCAATTTGATATTAATATAAAGAAGAGGATAAGAAGAAACAAATTACCGTTTTCTGAGAGACTGTAGGCAATCTGGATACATTTCCTTTCTCCAATAAAGAAAAAACTCCCATATTCATGACTGATTTTATCAATTTTTTTATCAAAAAACACAGTGTAAAATATGATTTTTCGTCCTGTTTACCTACAAAATATGCCCCGATACATCTTATTTGACCAACTATACTTAAAAAGCATCTTTAAAGGAACTTATTTCTCAAATTTGAGAAATCTGTAGGCTCCTTTCATTTACTAGATCTTGACCTTAAAGCATTTTTTTAATTTGCTAATACAAGATTAACGCGCACAACCGTGATACTGCAGGAAAAAATTTACATTTTCCACAAGAAATAGATGTAAATGAAAACCTGATCTAATTAAGTTGGAAAAATAAAACAATTATATCTATCAAAGACCCCCATTTTTTTATTTTTAAAAAATCATTTAATTGTCAGAAAGAATAATAACACCAATGATATCAATTCAAACGCTGGTTAATCTGTTAATTTTTTTTTCCATCGTAAAATTTTGCTTGGGCCGAGGTGTCTTTTATGGTTGAGGCTATCTGGTACCGCTTGCAGGGTGGATGGCAGGAGTTATCTCTCCATAAGTGCGTGCGAGTTATCTCGCATTACAACGGTGATAACCATGAATTTGTACCCTTATTAAAAAGTTCCACATCAATCGTTCTATAGAAAGGTTAATGTGTATTTAATATGTAAAACGTAATAATTAAGAAAAAGAAAGGGAGCGAGACAAATAAAGTCCTCTAATTACTGATTTGGGAGCATATAGTGCACGGAGCCCCCCCCCCCCCTCCCCCCAAAAAAATGTATGATGAAGTTTTTTTTTTTAAAATTATTTAGTTATTATATATATATATATATATATATATATATATATATATATATATATATATATATATATATATATATGTGTGTGTGTGTGTGTGTGGGGGTGGGTGTATGTGTGTGTGTGTGTGTATTATTTTATGCACATACTTTTATTATTTATTTATTTATTTATTTTTGTAAATACATACCTTTTGTTTATCACTCGAGACTACGATGTTTTCAGTTACCTTTTGTTGTTATTCTTTTCTTTTGACAATGTTCACTCGCTTTGTCATTCTCGCAGACATATGGCACAATAACCGAACGTCTTTCTTCTTGAAATTGAAACTCTTATAAATTAAAGTAAAACAAATTAGGGAATTTTGAATCCCACTCCATGTATCAGCGAATGCCGGTATGCAAAGACTCTACACAGACCTTTTATTATACACTTATTTACAATCTAATCAAGGGTCGAAAGGAAGTGTTTTTGAATGTCTCCAAGTTATTAACAGTTCTCTCTGTCTCTGTCTGTCTGTCTGTCTGCCCCCCTCTCTCTCTCTGACGGTAGTGAACCCCTGACTCAATCCGTGCTTGCTGTGTTCTACATTTATTCTAAATTTCAGACACTCTTTGTTAGCTTTCTAGTCATCATCTTCTAATTCACCGAAAATTTTTCTGTTTTTTTTCCTTTAATATATTTCATCCCATATTTACACAGTGAACATAACAATGCCATGATAACCTTGTACAATTTACTAATAATGATAGCGTTTATAACATAGGTCCAACTAGTATTTCAAAACTATCCCAAAAATATAATTCGGCATCTATATGTATGCCCTCCCCCCACTCCCGATGAAAAAACTAAAAATTCTTAAACCAGTATTTAATAGTGATATTTATTTTCTTTAATGCAAAATATGAATAGGGGATTGTTTTAACGCCGAGAATCAACATTTAATAGTTCTAAATATGTGTATAAAAGTTTAGACATACTAAAGTCACCTCTATCTAAGTTTTGCTAAGATTGTCAAATCTTAGCATGCTTTTAGTTACGGTATTGTTTGACACTGTACATTCTTCAGTCCTTCTTAAGCAAGGTCTTAGATTTAAGTACCCTTTATGTTACGACACCCAGAAAATGAAACTGCCCACCTCTAACAGGTACTACATTACGTAGCCTGTAACTGTAAAATAATTACAGATATCGAGATATGATACTTCCTACCTCTAACAGGTACCAGATTACAGGACCACCTACCTCTAACAGGTACCAGATTACAACACCACCAACCTCTAACAGGTACCAGATTACAGGACCACCTACCTCTAACAGGTACCAGATTACAACACCACCAACCTCCAACAGGTACCAGATTTTAAAGCTACCTACCTCTTACAGGTACCAGATTCCAAAGTTACCTACCTCTAACAGGAACCAGATTTCAAAGCTACCTATCTCTAACAGGTACCAGATTACAGGACCACCTACCTCAAACAGGTACCAGATTTCTAAGCTACCTACCTCTAACAGGTACCAGATTTCAAAGCTACCTACCTCTAACAGGTACCAGATTTCAAAGCTACCTACCTCTAACAGGTACCAGATTTCAAAGCTACCTACCTCTAACAGGTACCAGTTTACAGGTCCACCTACCTCTAACAGGTACCAGATTTCTAAGCTACCTACCTCTAACAGGTACCAGATTTCAAAGCTACCTACCTCTAACAGGTACCAGATTTCAAAGCTACCTACCTCTAACAGGTACCAGATTACAGGACTACCTACCTCTAACAGGTACCAGATTTTAAAGCTACCTACCTCTAACAGGTACCAGATTTTAAAGCTTCCTACCTCTAACAGGTACCAGATTGCAAAACTATCTTGTTCTATTACTACGGCTACTAATCTCTATTATGTACCAGATAATGAATCTACCTACCTCTAACATCAGATTACGAAGCTTCTTACTTCACTAAGTAAGTACTAAGAGGTACCAGATTATAAAGCTACTCACCTCTAACAGGCAACGGGTTATAAAACTACCTACCAGC